CATCTTCACATTGGGCTGTTCTTTGTTCTCAGATGATACTTTTAGGCACATGTACCAGGATATACATCATCCCTGAGTTTCCTTGAGGGATAATGGAATTGCAGCAAAACATTCAAAATCCCAGCCAAACTTTTTTCTTGGCCAACGACAAAACTACTCAAGGTAGTAGGCATGGACTGAAATGAGGACAGTGAACAGCAGTGCAAACAAAAGTTAACCAGTTCCATGGCCCCAAACCCAGGAGGCAGTGGGGTAAATAAGTACTTTGGCCCATCCAGAAGTGGGATCGAATTTCAGCTCTATTACTTACCATCTAAGTCTGTGACTTTAACTTTTCTAAGCTTCACTTACTTGCACGTAAAAGTGAAAATCTCTGTACTTATTTTGTAGCGCTTCTGTGAGGATTAAAATTGTACATGAAGGAGTTTGTCACAAAGGAATGTTGAACGTTAGGAAAAGCATCCTTCATTTCCTTCTTACGCCTGACTTCTGATCTCTTAGGAAAGCTAGTGAGAACCCAGGATATATAAATAGGTACCCCAAGGTTGCCTTGATTAGCTTCTTCCTTGATGAGGCAGGCTCCTAACTGAGGAAGGCTGTAGTGCCCCTGAGAAGGAAAGGGAGACCATGGAAAGGATAAATGAATGCTACAATGTGCCTCCGTCTTCTTCAGAATGGATAAAGAACATTTATATAGAGGATATTAACTCTTTCCAGTCTTTAAGTGGGGCCTACACTAGAGTGTATGCAGTATGGGTGAACTAATAGGAGGATTTTGAAAATTAAATATCGACCAAGTAATTAAGAAGAGTTTTAGAACTGCATTGACAGGATGTCTTCATAAACAATATGTATTCAGCCTGGGTCGGTTGAATCATATTCCATCTGAAGATAAGAAAAGAGACGACTATCTCTTAATGTTCCTCCAAGATTCTAAGCCTTCATGAAAGTTTAAAGGAAATATAACCTGCGAGATGTATTACCTTACTACTTACTAAAGAAGGCTCAGAGAGAATGACCATAATAAACAAGGTACTCTATTGGTAGAAAGGGCTTTGGAGCCACACAGATCTGGACAGGAACCACAGCCCTGGAGTTGACTAGCTAAGTGAGGTCAGGTCAGTTTCCCAGCCGCCATGAGGACTCTCCACTTTTAAGTTAGGGATAGCAGCACCTGCTTTAAAGTTTTGTTGTGAGAGTGAGGTGCTATTCATGGAATACAATGACTGGCACCCAACAGGTAGTCAATAAATACTAGCTCCTTCCTCTTGTAGGTTTTTGAGGCAGAGTCTCCCTCTGTTGCCCAGGCTGGAGTGCAGTGGTGCAATCTTGGCTCACTGCAATCTCCACCTCCTGGGTTCAAGTGATTCTCCTGCCTCAGCCTCCCAAGTAGTTGGGACTACAGGTGCACGCCATCACGCCCAGCTAGTTTTTGTATTTTTAGTAGAGATGGGGTTTCACCATATTGGCCAGGCTGGTCTTGAACTTTTGACCTAGTGCTCTGTCCACCTCAGCCTCCCAAGGTGCTGAGATTACAGATGTGAGTCACCACACCTGGCCCCTCGTGTAGTTTTAACTTTTGCCAACCATAACAAGCTGCACATAAAAACATCCAAGATTTTGCTGTTTTTTGCAAACATGTGGTGCAATTAATTTTGCCACTTCATAGATGGGAAAAACTGAAAGCACAGAAATTCATTGATGGCCAAAGTCTTACAGTAAGTCCATGACCTAATAATTTCTTATATTGTTAAGAAAATGGTGAGAACATTTTCCTGCTACAGTGAAAATAAAACTGAGGACTAAGAAGCAGCTTCTCTGCTCCTTCTGGAATCTCTGGCTGGTTCAGCCTGCCTGCCTCCACTCCTGCCTCCACTCCTGCCTCCACTCCTGCCTCCACTCCTGCCTCCACCATGTTCATCAGGGTGACCCAGAGTCCTGTGAGGTGTCCACCTCTGTCCCGTGGGCCTTCAGCAGCCTCTCCTACACCAGTGGGCCTAGTGCCCGCATCAGTTCCTCGAGCTTCTCCAGAGTGGGAAAGCAGCAGTTCCCAGGGTGGCTTGCGTCATGGGATGCCCAGCTTCATGGGAGGCATCACTGCTGTCATGGTCAACCAGAGCCTGCTAAACCCCCTTAACCAGGAGATGGACCCCAACATCCAGGCCGTGTGCACCCAGGAGAGGGAGCAGATCGGGACTCTCAACAACAAGTTTGCTCCTTCATCCCCAAGATATGGTTCCTGGAGCAGCAGAACAAGATGCTGGAGACCAAGTGGAGCCTCCTGCCGCAGCAGAAGATGGTTCAGAGCAACATGGACATGTTTGAGAGCTACATCAACAACCTTAGGTGGCAGCTGGAGACTCTGGACCAGGAGAAGCTGGAGGCGGAGCTTGGCAATATGCAGGCGCTGGTGGAGGACTTCAAGAACAAGTATGAGGATGAGATCAATAAGCATACAGAGATGGAGAATGAATCTGCCCTCATCAAGAAGGATGTGGATGAAGCTGGAGTCCCGCCTGCGAGGGCTGACTGACCAGATCAACGTCCTCAGGCAGCTGTATGACCAGGGGACCCGGGAGCTGCAGTCCCAGAGCTCAGACACGCCCGTGGTGCTGTCCACGGACAACAGCCGCTCCTGGACATGGACAGTCTCATCGCTGAGGTGAAGGCGCAGGGCGAGGACATCGCCTATGGTGGCCGGGCTGAGGCTGACAGCACGCGCCAGATGGAGTATGAGGAGCTGCAGACGCAGGCTGGGAAGCCCGGGGGTGACCTGCGGCGCACAGCGACTGAGATCTGCGGGGTGAGCGGAGCACCAGCGGCTCCAGGCTGAGACTGAGGGCCTCAAAGGCCAGAGGGCTTCCTGGAGGCCGCCATCGCAGATGCCGAGCAGCGTGGGGAGCTGGCCGGTAAGGATGCCAACGCCCAGCTGTCCGAGCCGGAGGCCGCCTGCAGCGGGCCCAGCAGGACACGGCGGCAGCTGCGTGAGCACCAGGAGCTCATGAACGTCAAGCTGGCCCTGGACATCGAGTGGCCGCCTACGGGAAGCTGCTGGAGGGCGAGGAGAGCCGGCTGGAGTCTGGGATGCAGAACACGGGTAGCCACACGGAGACCAGCGGCTATGCAGGTGGCCTGAGCTCGGCCTCCTGGGGCCTCACAAGCCCCGGCCTCGGCTACGGCCTGGGCTCCAGCTTTGGCTCTGGCGCGGGCAGCTCCTTCAGCCGCGCCAGCTCCACCAGGGCCGTGGTTCGAGACCCGTGATGGGAAGCGGCTGCCCCAGAGCCTGGGAGGGAGGCGGCTGTGCAGGGGAGCACAGGGAACCGGAGACCCACCTGAGGCTCAGCCGTAGCCCTCAGCCCAGGCGTGGAGAGTTTATCGCTTGGGGACCCCCTTTGCCCATACCTCCAGCTGCAAAACAATTGATTTTTTTTTTTTTGGTCCAAAATAAAACCTCAGCTCTGAAAAAACAAAACAAAACAAAACAAAAACAAACAAACAAAACAATAGAATTACAGGAAAACATTCCTTCTTTTCACTCTTGTAATTTATTGTTTCTCTTATACGATGGGAAAGGAACAGTTTGTATCATAAGATAATAAAGATTTGGGGATCCAGAATGGGGCCAACAGTGTTTCTTTGTCTCCTCTTTTGGGTTTAAACAGTTTCAGTATTTATTCATTTCAAAGAGAAGGAATGACCTTTGTAGTTCTGTTGAGTTCTTACAGATAAGCAGAAGACTAGGAATCTTGGCTTAAATTGCTTCTTTGCTGATTTCTCTGCATTGAATGGCATAGCATGGTTCAGAATAAACAGAAGTGGTTTGAGTGTTCTCCAAGAAACATTTCTGATCCCTGGACGTGCTGGAGAAAAAGCAGTCTAAGCAAATGCTACAAAAGCAAAGTGGGCGGAATCCTGCGCTTGCTTTCTGCCGTCAGTCCCAGGCAGACTCACCCCTCTCCACTTTAGGGTGTTCATCTGTTCAATGAATGGATAGAACCAGGCAACCTCTGAGGTCGCTGACAGCTCAAAATTCTCTGATTTAGGTTCTACCATGAAAAAAAGATGCGCTAGTGAATTTCAGCAGTAAATCCACAACGTAAGTATTTTTAGTCATCCTAGAGAAAGAAACCAGGCACAACTGAGAGCCACTTGTCAGGACAAAGAATTTGCCTCTCTGACCTTCCTATTTTGCTCTAGCATAAACCACACTAGCCAGATCATGGAATGAGATCTGAAAATGTCCTTTTGGTCCGGCCCACCCTCTGGCTAACCGCTAGACCACACCAGGTAGACCCGTCTGTCATGAACTATGCCTTTGGAATGGGATTTATAGCACAGCCCTCCATGAGGCCAGCTCAGCGGTCCTCAGACCCCAGTGGGACTCTCCTCCTAGAGTCAGATGCTTACACTGGAATTAAAAACTCTTATTTTCCTAGTTTCATACCCAGGCAAAACTCATCCCTTCCCCACTGTCCCCTTTCCCTGGCCTCCTTTATTGCCTTGTCTATTTATGTTCATGTTGCTCTCTCTTAGGAGATTGTAGAAATGATTCTATAGAACTGAGCTCTTCTTATGCAGACTTTGGAGTCAGGCAGCCCTGGCTGACTGGATTCTGCCACTGGCACTGTGTGTTCAACAGTGAGCCATTTGAACTCTCTGAATGGGAGTATTATCCGTCTTTAAGACCAGAATGTAAATATCTTCCTCACAAGGTTATCAGGATAATTAGATGAGTTAGTATATGCAAAGCTACTTAGCACAATTTTAGGCAATTGCAGGTGGCCAAAACATTGAATCTATTATTGTTATTTGTATAAAATAGGATCTTAACAAGTGCTGGTGAAACAAATAAAAAAATAATAACCACTTCTTCAGGATATTCCAACTCAATTCAGATCAAAAGGTGGTAAAGAGGGTGCTATGGTAATTACAGAGCATGGCTGCAGGGTAGAAGGCAGAGTGTATATGACAGGCACACCAGGTATTTGGAATAAACTTACCCCTGACCAGCCGTGGGGCAAGAACTGGCCCTCCGCCCAGTATTTTCCATTGATGAAGAAGAGGCCTGCGATCATGATGAACACCCACACTGCCAGGTTCAGCACGTTGAGGACATTGTTGAAGCCTATGGAATTCTTCACCCCAAGAGCAACAATGATGGTCACGATGACTGCGATCAACAGAGCCAGAAGGTCTGGGTATGATTCTTCACCTTTCCCTAGAGAGGAAAGACATGATCTGACATTGTCTAGGGGGAAGAAAGGGACGTGCAAACTCCTGTTCCTACCCCAGTGCATCCGCACTCACCTCTAAGAAGGGCAGTAAGTCTGTTAAGGGAAGTGTGTGTGTGTGTACGCACCTACACTTCCACAAGCAGATACAAGTGTCTATTTGCAAATGAGCAGTATTTGGTGGACAGGTAAGATGACCTGATATCCTGGACCAAAACTTGGGCTATGTGGTGTGACAATTACAACAGTGCCTATGGAACCATGGCACAGAATATTTGAGGTAGGAACTGTCCTGGGATATTTGGGGTGTATATTTAGGTCTAACATGTTATTTGAAAATTGTTTTTATCTTCATTATGGTTAACTTTACAGTCTGTAAAATTTCCATCCCATTCCCAAACCTTTTCTTTATCAGCAAGTTTAAGAATGTGCGTCCTTGAAAACGAGGGCAAGAGGGGTTTTCTGTTCTTTTGTGTATATGTGGTTGTAGAGAAAAAAATAACCATGCCCTGCCTGCTTGGTTTTGCCCAATGGCCAGTGGAGTCCTGCCCTCTATAGAGAGGAAAAGGCATTGCCTCAGCTGTCAGGGGTGCTGAATTTCAGCTGTACTTTTGCCGGTAGCCAGATTTGTGGCCTTGGGCAAGGTTGCCTCATCTCTCTGGACCTCATTTGTAAAGCAAAGGACATGAATGACCTGATTTTGGAGGACTCTTTTAGACCTAAAATTCTATGCCATCAGTACACTGACCAGGTTTGTTCTTTATATTTTTATTTTGTCATGGTACCTAGGTGCTCAGCATCTTTGTCAGTTCTTCTGAGATAGGAACATTGAAGTCAGATGACTTGACACAGCCACAGAATCATTCCTCTGAAGCAAGACTCCAGAGCTTCCTCAACTATTGTTTAGCTTTCCTTAAATATGAGTTTATCAGGCAAGTTGGAGGGTGGCCAGGCACGGTGGCTTATGCCTGTAATCTCAGCACTTTGGGAGGTTGAGGTGGGCAGATCACAGGGTCAGGGGTTCAAGACCAGCCTGACCAACATGGTGAAACCCTTTCTCTACTAAAAATACAAAAATTAGCTGGGTATGGTGGTGCACACCTGTAATCTCTGCTACTCAGGAGTCTGAGGCAGGAGAATTGCTTGAACCTGGGAGGTGGAGGTTGCAGTGAGCCAAGATCACACCATTGCACTCCAGCCTGGACGACAGAGCAAGACTGTCTCAAAAAAAAAAAAAAAGATGAAGAGTGGGTGGCAAATGATGGATAGAGCCTGAGGTCTCATGGTATTTGTTACATGAGCTTCTGATGGTTTAGCATTCGCTGTTATATTACCCCTTCCTGACCTCTTCCAGGCTGGAATCCATTTTGTTCCTTAATTTTTTTTTCATTTGAAATTTGGAAAAAAATCTGATGAAACCACTAGAGAAATTGCTTAAAATTCTTTTTTTCCTGCATTTGTTTTATTTTTATATAGCTATTGACATGTGGATGTATGGTTTGTATCTTTGATGTATGATATCACATTAAAACATAATCTATGTTATTACAAGTTTTCCTAATCATCCTTTTAACTGCCAGCTATATAATATTTGTCTGCAATTTATTTAGTCCTTTGCCCCATTGTAGAATATTTAGGCTGTCTCTAGCTTTTAGTTATTGTAAAGGAGGCTGTGATGAGCATCTTTTTGTATAATGCTTCGATGGACATTAGAATTATTTTTTAAGGATGGATAGAATCATAGAATTACTTTGCAAAAAAAGAGATGTATTTAAGGCTTTGATACATTTTGTCAAATTGCTTTCTGAAAGGGGAACTCATCTGTGGCTCGGTAAGTTCGAATGTTGAGGGTAGGAGGATGTGGCAGTCTCACCCAGGCCATTGAGGGTTCCCACGCTGTTTACCATCCAGCGGCTGATGGTGTGGTTGGCCAGTGAGTCGAACATGCTGCTCAGAGCACTGGCTCCAGCCGCAGTGCCAATCAGGTACTCCAGGATCAGGTTCCAGCCAATGAAAAATGCCACAAATTCCCCAACAGTGACATAGCTGTAGGTGTAGGCAGATCCTGTGGTCTTGGGGACTCGAACTCCAAACTCTGCATAGCAGACCCCTGCAAGGGACAAACATACACAGATGGTGGACTTCAGGAGATGAGGTGACATCCTGTGGCTAACAGTCTTGGGTAGAACATGTTAAGGCTCTCTAGGATCTCAGAACAAATACACAAAATTTTATGTACATGAATAGATTCAAAGCCGACTCTGATCTCTTCCAGCCTCACTTCTGAAAAATGTGAACCTGAATGCCTAGCAAGGCAATCAGAACTAATTTTACTGAACTGTTGGAAACTAATCTTTATTTAGAAAAAATTCCACTTGTGTGTGTCTCTGTCATGTTCCTTAGGTGTCAGACAGCCTGTGTGAACCTGGGCCCAATTCACTATGATCCCCACCCTTTATGGCGCCGGGGTTATATTATGCACAGACGACTTCTCTTTTGGTTTCTACATGTTATAGAAGGTACTCCTCATTTGAGAGTGATACTTTGAGCAATCTGTGAAAATGCTGTACTATATCTAGTAGATAGATAAAAGATGAAAATATAAGTAAATTACTAACAAGGAAATTTAGCACATGGACAAAAGATAATTTAATAAACACTTTTAGAGACCTGTCATGTGCATGGCAGGGTGTGAAGCACTGAAGATAAAAGAGACAAGTGGCATATGCCCCTGCCCTCAAGGGGACAGAGGCCATTAGTGCCCATTGTAGGCTTGGGCACTGTGTAAGCTTGACAATGTAAAAATGTATAACAACTGGAGTAGAGATGTGAGACATGTACTCAGAGGATTTTGAGGCATATGTAGGGATTAACTGGATGAGGAAGGTGGAACATGAGGCAAAGACATGGCAGAGAGAGACTGTATCAAGTATTTGGGTGGAGGGGGAGTGTACAACGAGGTATTAGAAGGCGACGAGGCTAGCTAAGTAAGCAGAGCCATGTGTTTTCCAAAGTGGGTTCAGGGCCCACTTTCACCACAATCATCTATTGAATCTTCATTTCAGGAGATAGGAACCAGGATGCTGCATTTTAACCAGCTCCCCCGGTAATGCATGTGGTCACTTGTACCTGAAAGGCACTGGACTATTGCCTTATTCTTTAATGTAATTAGAGAATAAATTAAAAAGAGGTGAAAACACACCAAACTTCTGGGAGTTGGGAGAATTTCCAATTTTGTGCTGAGAATTCTGGGTGTGGGCCAGTGGGTGGGGCAAGAAGTTGGAGGACAGTCCGAGGACAGCGGGAGGAAACATACCCGGGGGTGGGATGTAGGGGGATGTAGGAGGGAGCTCAAAGTCAACTTTACCTTCAGTCCCAATTTTGTTAAGGGTCAGCCCTGAGGTTCTCTCATCACAAACCAGGGAACAATAGTTCACTCTTTTGTGAATAAAGAAAGCAGGTTTCTTCTCCTTTGGAAGGGGGCGAAATGAATGCAAAGAAGCAAAAACAGAGAGGTCAAAAGCAACGGCACGACAAAGGATTCCATGGAATGTACTGTCTCTTCCTTCCCCTCGGCTGCTTCAGTTGTCAGGATGTCTACATGGAAGAAGCACTGGACCAGTTATGCTGGGCTCCTGTTTCTATTCCATCCCTATAGATTCAGCGTCCTTGTTTCTGAAATAAAAGTATTATACCAAAGCTTCTATTAACGATCTCCTAACTCTGACACTCTAGGATTCCATCTGTTATGTTGAATTTTGTAAATTTTTTGCTGCAAAATCTATTGAGCACAACTTAGCTTTTCTTTTACATCAGTTACTATATCGTCTGGTGCCATGGAGATGCTCTCAGGGACAGTGAAGCTGTTTGTCTCTACATTAACGGCCCGGGCTGTTATTTATTTTGAGTTGCTCTATCAGTCCTCCTCCCCTTACTTTGTAAATACAGCTTTTCGTCTCTTTCCTTGATGTTAGACTGTCAGCTGTACTTCCTGTTGCTATCACAGTGCTTACCTGGAGCAGTCAGACTATCTCTTTTCTAAATTGCTGCTTCCAACACCTGCTATTTAAATTGTTAGAGTGAGTCTAAAATTAAGAGGAAATGGTCTTTGAAGAAAGGCCTAAGAGCTCTTCCACGGGGAAAGTATAGAGTGTGCATGCACTAAATACGAGAACCTGATGCTATTTTCTTGGATGCTGTGTGTTTTCAGGGTTCTCGGGAGCTGAGTCTGCACATACAGATTTGGTTGCTCTTTTAGTGCCGTGTGAGGAAGGAAGTGAGCAACTCACTTCCCCGTGTTGGCATCAGACCCGCAGCATTATCCAGTAATCCCTATGTTCTATGAGCTTATTCTCATCACCCAACTTTGCCACCTGACCATTCGATCTGACAAATGAAATTTTAAAATACCCATTTCGCCACCAGAATACACTTGCCAAGGGTAATTAGCAGATGGCCAAGTCTTTATTAGGTCTTGTGAACGGACCAGTCCATTGATGTCTGAATCAGAGAAAAAGGCCCTGGCCGTGCATGGTATAAGGAGCATTTGGAATCTTAGCCATTTCCCAAGGCCTTGCTGGGGTACTGATGACTATGGTTTGTGGAGAACAGTGGGAAAAAATCAATCGGCCACTAACCATATTAGACAATTTCTGCTCCAAGAAATCATTGTTTTGGACACACTGTAAAATATCTTATAATATTTTAAAATTTTTCTGATTTGTTTGTATGGAAAAATTCAGACTTATGGTGGGCACTAGAGAGCATCTAGCCTGGCATTTAAGCTTACTGGTGAGAATTGAATGTTTACAGCCTCAAATGTCCTGAGAAAAATGTTCTCATTCATTCAACTATTTTGAAATATCTGGTAAGTAAGAGAAACACATTCAAGAGTATCTTTCTAATTTCAATAAGAAATTAAAAGCATGGAAAGGGATTATTATTATTATTATTATTTTTAACAGAGTCTCACTCTGCTGCCCAGGCTGGAGTGCAGTAGTGTGATCTCAGGTCACTGCAACCTCCGCCTCCTGGTTTCAAGCCATTCTCCTGCTTCAGTCTCCTAAGTAACTGGGATTACAGGCATGTGCCTCCATGACTGGCTAATTTATGCATTTTTAGTAGAGATGGGATTTTACCATTTGGCCAGGCAGGTCTCGAACTCCTGACCTCAAGTGATCCACCTGCCTCAGCCTCCCAAAGTGCTGGGATTACAGCGTGAAGCACTGTGCCTGGTGAAACATTGGTTTTTATCCCAGATTATCTAGGGTCCTAGAGTAGTGAGTGTCCAGGGGCGAGTTACTTACCCCCCTATGGATGTAATGAGGTGGCCAACTAAATTCACTTTAGGGCCCCTTCTGATGCATCTTTCTTTGATTTCACAGCTAAAGCCAACTCTTAACCATCTAGTTAGTGGGGGAAACTGAAGAAAATACCATATGAACCAATGGTTCTTAATGGAGGTGGCGTTGACTCCTAGGGGAATTTTGGAAATATGTGGGTGTGTCTACGGTTCTCACAATGATTGTGGGCACTTGTGGCATTAAGTGGACAGACGCCTGGGGTATTCGTCATTCTGCAATGTGACTGACTCACGGATTGAAGCTCTGCCTTGTATCACATATGACTGCTGATGGCTCCAGTGGCATTCATTTAAGTACAAACCTGTTTGTAATTTTTGAACTTGAATTTATCTCCCTTCTACACATGCACACAAAGTAAATTTTTTGGCATGGTTTTTAGACATTGAGTTTTCTAGGACGGCAACAGCTGGGCGAATTGAGAGACAGTTGTCATTTGTTCGGTTTGGAATTAACCGAGTTGATCATCATTCTGGAGGACCAACATCAACAACAATGTTATTTATGGTCTTTGAGCATCAAATAACAGACCTATGTGAGTCTGCATTTGTGGCAGCTGTACTCACAGAGGTTCTATAAGTGACCGCAAACACCTGACGACTCCGTTGGGTCTCCTAATGTATGCATGCCCAGCATTCATGTTGAAATAAATATTGTTTTATTCAAAATAACTTTTTTGATTTATCTTTCATACTCAAGGTCTATTCATTTTTTAAAAAATTAAGTGTGTAGGAAGGTAACCATCTCCAGTTTTCATCCAGAATAGTAGAGGCAGCATTATAAAGTATTTATTACCAAAAATGAATTTGGGTGTACTAGGGTAGATAATCACTGTTTTAAATGAGAGATCAACAGCCAGGCGTGGTGGCTCATGCCTGTAATCCCAGCACTTTGGAGACTGAGGTGGGTGGATCACCTGAGGTCAAGAGTTCGAGCTTAGCCTGGCCAACATGATGAAACCCCATCTCTACTAAAAATGCAAAAAAAAAAAAAAAAAAAAAAATTAGCTGAGTATGGTGGCAGACGCCTGTAGTCCCAGTTACTCTGGAGGCTGGGGCAGGAGAATCACTGGAACTTGGGAGGTGGAGGTTGCAGTGAGCCGAGATTGTGCCATTGCCCTCCAGCGGGGGCAACAGAGCAAGACTCTGTCTCAAAAAAAAAAAAAAAAAAAAAAGAGATCAATGTATAAATAATCTTAATTTGGTGAATCCATTAAAAAATTTTGCCCGAGTCACCTTTCTAATCATATTTGCCTTATGCTATTATCAAAGTGATTTTGCATTTTGTGGTTATCCACCAAGTGATTAGAGGGAGAAGCATATTGATTTCAAAAGTACTTATTAATATAGCTAGAGAGAATCAATATGAAATCCAGAGTTTAGGTGCAGGCAGCCATCGCTGAGTGACCGCAAGCTGCAGACCACATGATGGAAATTTTCCCTTGGTCAGAGTTGGGAAATCTAAGTCCTGGAGAAATATAAAGGATTTATTTCAGCAGGACTAGAGGTAATAAGCCTGCAAGTCTGATACCTTTTCAATTACCCGCCATGTAAGTCTATCGTAAACATATTCCTATTTATATTTTGTCCGATTTCTAGTGTTTTATATTTCTATATGCAGAACGACTTGTGGTTGAATTGACAATTTGTCAGCCTAAAAATCAGCTGGGCTTGGAGAGGACTTCCACATTGAAAAGTGGGTTGGGACAAGGTATCAGGAGAGTCTTAATTTGCAATATTCCCTGTTAATC